AAGCTTGAGCATCGGTGCATCACCACATATCTTATAGATAATGCTTTGGCATTTATTGGTGACAGAGATAAGTCATTAATTATAGCCCGACAACACTACTACCGTATTTGACAAAACCAAGAATTGGAATCTTTCTCTTACTTTTCTCATGCAAATTAAATTTTGTAACATTCACATTACACCCATCTTATTAAATGTACACCATTCACATTGTGTGCCCATATTTAATGGGAATGAAACTCACAAAGAGGCAAATACCCATGTTTGTGTTGTCCACATATTCCTCTTTCTTCAGCTTCAGCTTTAGTTGTTTTTGCACTTCCATTTTCTGTTACTATTTTTCCCTATTTTGCGTATGGCATAATTGCATTAACATGGCTGCCACTTGCTCATCAGGTTGTTTTTAGACAATAAATTTTTTCTGTCCTCTCATTCATGATGGTTGAGCCTACTTGTCTATATCATTTATACAGATTTAAGTGGCCAGTCAGTCGACTATCGCATAAAAATCTACCCTTTCGCCACATCTAGAAAATGAGATGAAGCTATTTAAGGTTGAGCATTGAAATCTTCCTAGTTGCATAGACACTTCAACTACAATGGAACAACTAGAACTGATGTTTAAATCCCTCAACAGAGTAAACAGATCAGACAAAACAGTCGACTCGACTCTACTCTACACCAGATTAGAAGTATCTATCAGTCCTTTGTGATCCAAGGAGCTTTGAATTCGAAATACATGGACTCTAAGTTGATAACAGGACTTCAGTTGAAAATTATAATTCTTCATTCACATCTGTTATTCAATCACTAAGAGGCTTCTCCATATTTCTCAGACACCAGCTTTTTTACAACATATTCACAGATAAAACAGAAGTCCTACCATCAACTCTTGAAAATTATCGAATATCAGATCAGACTTGATAAAGAGAGAGGAGAATTCTGCAACAGTTTCAATGCATATGAGGAAGGGGACACTGGTGCACATATGAGCCTAAACTGGAATCAGAACAATTTATTTGTGCAGTATGACATGAAGACGTTGACTTTTAAAATGACTTGTGGTTGGAAAATACGGCAAACTAAATGATCATAAAAATGCAAAGTATCTAGGATACAATAACAATGTTAGCAGTAACACACGAAGAAATTAGAAATGCAAAAAAACAAAGCAATGCAGATCCCATAAGAATTCACAGGGAGATTACTGATTTACTTAAATGTGCATTTAAGCTAAATTCCTCGAAAGTGGCCACATTGAACTGTCAATCCTCAAAAAACTAATAAAAGAAGACCTTTGGTGTCACCTCGACCTGAATCACCCAAAACCACAGAGTATGTACTCCCCTCTAACGCAGATACCACCAAATTCAAAATTCTCACTTATTATTCCAGGTGTTGAAGGCTTAAGCGGGCTAATACAAAACTAGTTGGCTTTGGCAGACTTCAAAGTATCAAGCCTTTCCTCTTGAGATAAAAATTATAACGAGATCATTGTGGAGAAAAGAAAGGAGAAGCAATAATCAAGATCAGAGTTCTCTGAGAGAATATATTGTACCTCCCAAAGCCTAATGTTTACTAATCTAAACAAGCAACAAGTCACACAAGATTCACTAGCCAGCGGAAACCTTTAGAAAGCCAGAAGCTGCAACAAATGAACATTGGTTGCTCGTACAAAATATAAGATCTCAGAAACAGAAACCGCAGACGAGGAAATTGCACCAACTGTGGGCACATAATACCTTGTTTCCTATTTTCACACGATAACTTAATTAATATATATATTGGCAAACTCACGTAAAGATCCTTCGAACTATGATGAGCACACCCATGAAGATAATCAAGAACATTAGGCCACATCCCGACTAACCAGTAGTAGGAATAGTTTAACCTTCACATTTCAGAGCACAAGCAATAATGAAAAAGTAACATGTAACATATCTATAATTTATACAAGAACTTGAGTAAAAGGGAAACAACAAATGATCCAGGAGCACCTGTATTTTGAGAGTCGGATGAAGCCCGGTAGAATTCTTGGATATCTATGTTCTTTAGTAATTAGACAATGAGTGGAACCAATCATCTACAAAATCCATCTCCTCCACAAAGCAATATCTTCTTCTTCTTCTTTTGTGCTCTACGCAACTCGAATGTGTTAACGAACCAATCTACTGTCCCGATCCTTGAGAATCATCCTTGGGAGATTGTTGCTGCTGATGCTGATTTTGATGCTGCTGCTGTTGAGGGTGCATCCTAGACTGTCCCATCTGCTGGTAAAGCTGGCTCATTGCCTGAGGATTCAAAACCCCAATATGACCATCTTGTGATAGCCCAAGCTCCAACCCTGGAAGCTGCTGGTTAGTACTAGTACCCATAATTGAGGTAAAACTCATCGGCCCAATATTGCTTGATGACAGGTCAAACCCTGGGAACCCAATCTTTTGCAAGTAATTAGAACCCTCACTACCCAGATTAAC